ATTCCTGATGATGAACAATAATTCTGCTTCCAATCTGGCAAATATCGTAAGCGCATTGTCTGCCCCGTTCATTATGTTGTGTACTTCTTCCCCTTCCAATTCATCATGGGCGGCGATACTTTCTTCCCCGAAGAAACTATCCCAAATCGCAGGGAGATCTTCATCGACCCGACCCGGATCATTTACACCGTTCCTCTCACCACCAGACTGCAGATCAACAATTCCATCTTCAGAATCCGAATCCGAATCCGAATCAATTCCCACAATCCGGAGCCCATCTTCTCGTGAATCAACGCGCTGCCGCTCGGATCTGAACATAAGTTCCAATCCAATGTTTACCTCCTCCTCACCCTCCTCTTCCTCCTCTTCGCTATCGAAGTCCCACCACTGAAAGTCATTCACAGGGCCGAAACTCGGACTCGGATCCGAAGCTAAGTTATCGAGCATACTGAATTGGTCCAATTGACGGTCGATGAGGGAGGTGAAGGAGGGAGGGGGTTCAAGACCGGATTCAGAATCCGAATCATGGTCGGAACCGGAGAAAAGGCAGGGAGGATTTAGCGTAGTGCGAACATCGGATACCCAACGGGAGAAAGAAGGTAAAGTTTGGGATTGCATTTCTGGGTCAGGTTGTTCAGGGATGATGGGAAGACTAGAAAGCTGCGGCATTGATTGGTTTGATTTGATTCTGAAGGCTTCTAGAAATCAAATTGCGAAACCTCGTCTCTGTTTTTTGGTTTTATATACAGAGAGATGGGATTCTTTGTATTCTCAGAGATTCTCTGCCAAGTGATGAATTTATAAAAAAGATTTTGGTACGTTCGATTACGGGCGGTGGGTCCGTCCAAATTTAATAATTTGTCATTTGACCTTTTCGTTGGGGAGGAAAGTACAAATATTATAAACTATAGGGTAACATATACAAATATTCATTAAACTGTTATTAGTTGGTTTATAATATAATTTTGCTTGGGAAAATTTTAAAAATTATAATTTAACTTAGACGTAATTATAAAACGTACATTTTACTTTACTAACAAATTTTTTTCTTTATTATTAGTAATTGAGTTAACCTTATATAATTATTATCAGATAATAAAATAGTATATAATTATTAAATATAATTGTAAGATTGTTAATTTTTTGATAAATATTAAATTTAATTGAATGAGTATTTTGTGATAAAATAAAAACATATTTTTAAAATTATGTTTAAAGTAAAAAATTATAAATTATCTCTAAAGATTAAAAAAGAAAAAAAAAAGAATCAAACTTTAAAAATAAGCAAGTTGAAAAATACCCTAATGTGTATAGTTGAAGAGGATAGTTAAAGTAGTCAATGAGTTTTAAATTGTGATTATTTGGGTTTTAATTTAAAATAAAAATTTAAATTCTAACTATTATTTAAAATATAATTTACATATTTTACAATATACTAAACAAATGATCATTCAAGTAATTATATAGTGTAATTTTTTTAACTTTTCATTCACTTGGGTGAAAAAAAAAATAAGAGATGAAGTTTACTTTTTTTGGACAAAAATTTTACAATGTATCATATATTTTTATTTTTTAAGTCCCAATATAATTATAAAATTAAAAATACTATAAAAAAATTTAAAATAAATACAAAAGAAGCACTTATTCTCTTTTTATGATGTTACATAAATAATAAAATACTTTTAAGGTAAAATCTTAAATAATAAATTCAATTAAACTCGTAAATCATAAAATACTAATAATTAATTTCAATATAATTTTATTAAAATAGAGAATCTCGTATATATATTTATCAAAAAAGAATGTATTACGAAAAATATATTTATGTAAACATATAAACACAAAAATTATTGAACTAAAATGTAATCTATGACGAAATGTTTTCTAAAATAAATAATTCTCGGTATCCATTAATTTACCCTCTCGTAATACAAAAAAATTCAATTTGGCAAAAATAACTTCTCTCGCCGTTGCCGGGGATCGAACCCGGGTCACCCGCGTGACAGGCGGGAATACTCACCACTATACTACAACGACCAGATGACTGCTTTGAACAATAATATGTTACATATAGTTATATCGGAAACCGTTCAAAAATCCCGCCAAGGTCAAAGCATGACTCTGCTATCAAACACTCCATGGCGAAACGCGCTCCTCTTTTTGGTCTCACAAGATTCTTCTTCTACTCTTACTCATCCCAGATTTCTCTTCACAAAATGCTCCAAGTTTCTTCGATATATACACACACAGCAAACAATACGGCACCCACGAATAGAATGACCTTCTCGCACATTTTCCAAGAATGCGCCAATCAACGAGCATACAACCCGGGGAAACAAGCCCATGCTCGCATGATCGTTACTGGGTTTGCTCCAACGATTTTTGTTACTAATTGTTTGCTCCAAATGTACGTCAAATGTGTCGATTTAGGATATGCGTATAAGTTGTTTGATCAAATGCTTGAAAGAGATGTGGTTTCATGGAATTCGATGATTTTTGCCCATGCAGCATGTGGAGACATGGGAACTGCGAGGATGTTTTTCGAAGAGATGCCCGAGAGAGATGTTGTGTCTTGGAATTCTTTGGTCTCTGGGTATAATCGGAATGGTGAGTGCTTGAAGTCCATTGAGGTTTTCGTGGAGATGGGCAGACGGTGTTTGGCGTTTGATCATAAGACTTTTGCTGTCGTTTTGAAAGCTTGTTCTGCATTGGAGCAGTATGAAGTGGGAATTCAAGTTCATGGACTTGCAGTTCGAATGGGATTTGATTGTGATGTGGTTACAGGGAGTGCTTTAGTAGATATGTATGCAAAATGCAAGAGATTATGTGAATCAGTTTGGCTATTCCGTGAGATTCCAGAGAAGAACTGGGTGTCTTGGAGTGCTATAATAGCAGGTTGCGTTCAAAATGATCAGTTTGTTGAGGGTCTGGAACTCTTCAAGGAGATGCAACTAGCAGAAACTGGAGTGAGTCAATCTACTTTTGCAAGTGTTTTCAGATCATGTGCTGCTTTATCTGTATTAAGATTAGGCACTCAGTTGCATGCTCATGCCTTGAAGAATGATTTCGGATCAGATGTCATTGTGGGAACCGCCACTTTGGATATGTATGCAAAATGTGATAGTATGTTAGATGCGCGAGAGTTATTTAACTCATTACCAAGTCATAATCTGCAATCTTTTAATGCCATGATTATTGGGTATGCTCGAAATGATCAGGGCCTTGAAGCTTTGCTCTTGTTTCAGCTTTTGGTGAGATCTGTTCTTGGTTTTGATGAAGTAAGTTTGTCTGGAGCATTCAGTGCTTGTGCATTGATAAAAGGACTTTTCGAGGGGCTTCAAGTACATGGGCTTACAGTGAAGAGTAACTTTAGGTCAAGTGTTTGTGTAGCAAATGCCATGATGGACATGTATGGAAAATGTGGAGCTCTAGCTGAAGCTTCTTGTGTGTTTGATGAAATGAATACACGGGATGTTGTATCTTGGAATGCTATTATTGCAGCTCATGAGCAGAATGGAAATGATGGGTATTCTCTTTCCTTTTTAGTGTCAATGCTCCGATC